GTATAAAACCTATACACCCCATACCCCTCCTCAGCCCTTCCTGTACTGCCCGCGATACCGACTCCCCCGCGACCAAGTCTCAATCCCATACCCATCGTATTTTCCGTCCACCAGTCGCCTTCATACCGCCCGCTGCCCGAAAAAATGTACACTCCGCTGCCCGAGCATCTGCCCTGGTAAAATTCTCCTTCGTACCGGTCCCCGTTGGCATACACGTGGACACGTGCCCGCACCAGATGCCGCTCGGGAGGCGCTACGAGACGAAAGACCCGCCGCACCGGCAGGTCCGGCAGCTGCTGTGGAAGACCCCTCTCCTCCCCCGCTATCCGAACCACCCTCCCGGTCCCTCTCCCTATCTCTCTCCTCTCACCGGCAGCACCAGTGCCACCACCACCATCATCACCACCACCACCACCATTACCATTATTACTGATCCCTCTCCCTCCCCCCCTGCCACTACGATTGTACCCTAGATATTCCCAGCTTCCGCCCCCACTAGACGCAAACTTCTTATCCAGAGCAGAGTAGTTCCCTGTTCCTCCTGTCCCTCTTAGCCTGAACGGCCGAGGGCCAGACGCATACCCCATTCCTGCTCCGGCTGCTGCCGCCGCGCCGCCGCTGCTGCCCCTCCCCCTCCCCCCTCCCCCACCCAGCCCCCCAAACGGCAAGTAATGCGCCCAGGAAGGGAGGATACTCCCCCCTCCGCCTCCGCCTCCCCCCCCCCCCGCCCCCTCGGCCCAGCCCAGACCCGATTCCCAACCTGCCAAACCCAGTACCGTCCGCCACGGCCCTCACCACCACCCGTTTCACTCTCTGCAGCCGCTTAACCAACAGCCGCGAGCGGGGGAACGCGGTGTGCAGCAGCAGCGCCAGGCGATCAAAGAAACGGGGGAAGGCGGAGCGCAGAGCAGCAGCAGCGCCGAGGAGTAGGATAGAGAGAGCTACCAGCTCCACCCAGGTGGTCCCGGGGGGGGTTTCGTAATCCTCCTCGTCAGGCGGAAACCAGTAGAAGACTGAGAGGAATCTGAAGCCCCGCAGGTGCCAGAGGATCAAGACGAGGGCGAAAAAGAGCATGGCGCTTAGGGTTTGAATGTCCACTCTATGGTGGTTCTCCCAGAAGGTTGAGATTGAGTGTGTAGCTGCTGCTGCAGCTGCTGCCGTTGCTGATGATGGTGGTGTACTCGTTATAGAGGGGTCCGGGAGCGACGATAACGCGGCTGCTTCTGCTAGGGATGTCAAGCTGCCTATGTTTTTCGTTATTGTTGGGGATTTGGGGATGGAGCCAATTCGTCGAAATCCTGGTCTCTTGGAACCTGACGCTCCTCCCCCTTTGCTGCCTCCTCTTCTAGCCCCCCAAAACTGAAACCCTAACGTCGTCTCTATAGCATGTATAGCTCGTCCCGGTAGCTTACCGAGTCCCTCTACAAACGCGTACAGCCCCTGGGACGCTGCTGACACGTGGCTGTAATCGTGTGGTGGGATCTTCACTCGCCCTCTCCGCCAATCCTCCTCCGCCTTCTCGTCTTTCTCTTTGGGTTCCTTCGCCCGCCCTTCAGGTAACGGTCGCGAGCTCTGCGCTGGGATTGGCTGCTCGCGTTCTAGGGTTTGCTGCCCTGGCCGACCAATCCCGAAGAGGACGCTGTAGCGGGGTGATCGTCCCATGCGGGCGGGACCGTGATTGTGATTACTTCCGGGTGGGGCGACGAAACGGGGGGCCCTAGATTCACCCCGCCTATATTCAATCCGCCTATTCCGGCTCTCGCGCCGCCTATCCCGCCGCCACTTCCGCCGCTTATTCCGCCCGCGAGCTGCGCGCCTTCGGACGAGACGAACGTGGCGCGCTTGTGCGCCGCGGACGGGATCAGCACCTGGTGGTGATGTGGATGGTCGGCCTGCAGCCACGTGGACGTCCCTCCGCCCACCGCCGCGCCGCCCGACGGGATGTTAAAGACATGCGGGGAGAAACCCGACGCAACTGTCGCGGTTCCGCCGCCTTGGTCCTCGACTGCTGAAGAAGAGCTGGTCGCGCCGCCGCCGCCGCCGCCGGTGCCAGTGGTGATGCTGATGGTAGTGCTGGCGACGGCCGCAGAGGCAGCAAGGCGCGGGAAAGGCGGGGAGAGGTGCAGGGACGAGGAGGGAGCGGCAAACGCGGCGCTACCTCCGGTGATGCCGCTGCTGGTGCTGGTGGTGCTGCTGCTTCCAGTGCCGCTGCCCCCAGTAACTCCGCCTGGTAACCCTGTAACGGGTAATCCTGTCCCTGTTCTCCCGCCAACGGCCCCTGTAACCGGTAGGCCCGACCCTGGTGTTGCCGAGTACATAGGAGAAATTGGAGGGAACCCTAGCCGCTGTCATGTGACGTGGAGAGAGATGTGAATGAGTCAGATTGAGGGGTGTCTGAGTCGGACAGAGTCGTCGCTGAGTCACACTGAAGGGTGGCTGAGTCAGACTGACACGCGGCTGAGTCAGACTGGGAATTAGGCCGTTCTATAAATCAAGATGCGGCCCGGCCCAGTCCGCGACCTCACGCGGCTGCGACCAACGTAGCTGCGACCAACGTAGCTGCGACCAACGCGGCTGCGACCTAGTCAAATTACGGAAATGTCGAAGACGATAACCTATGAGCCATGATGGCGAAAGTTCACAATTCGTGGTGACGACCTACTGGCAACGGTCCTCTGCTCCTGGTTCCCATTATCTTTCAGGTTGACGCCAACGCCGGAGAACTCGCCAGCTGAACGTCAACGTCTGTAACCTAGATAGACGGGCTTTAGATGGCGCATATGCGGAACGACATACACGGTAGGGCGGCGGGGGGCTTTGCAGAAATCAAATGCGCATCATCGGGGAGATATGCTATGGACGTCTTTATTCTCGGAACTAGTAAGGTTAGGCTTTTGATGGAGCTTCCATAATTGCCCAGCTTTAGGATTCAAGTAGCATCACTCAATCCGCTTACTAACTGCATTCAAGGAACACCAGGATATCAATCAAATCGCATTCAACCCTTTTGTGAAACAATCATATCGTCTTTGACCCTGTGAAGAATGATAGGTTTCCTTGGCTTCGGGCCTTCAGGCCCTGGGACATCACAATACACTTACTACCCCGTTGCATCCATTGCATACTAAAAAACATAAAGTTGAAGCTTTTTCCTTGGGGTAAGTGCATGCATGCACGAGTGAGTGCCAGGTGTGTGTGTGCCATGTGTGAGCTAAATAGTGTGTATTGCACTTCCTGTGTCTTCGTTCATCTCACCGACATATTCATAAGCCCCCTCACTGTGTTGTTAAAGAGTGTACACAAGCATTGATACCATAAATTGATGACTATCAATCACCCTCAACTCAAATGACATCTCGTACATTTACTTCCGCAGGAGCATCAGCTACTCCTACAATATCTTGAAGAACATCAGGAACACTATAGCTAATATTATTCAATGCAATATCAAAATCAGCAGCATATGCTGACTCCACAATCTTGATAGTGTCCTGAGACATGACATGACAGTGAGGGGGAGCATTAAAGGGACAGCAAAAGACCATCAGTGGGCACAAAGGCAAGAGTTACCAAACATGTTTGCTACTACTTCAGATGATCCAAAGGAAGGGAAAAGCATGTACGCACTGTACCAACTCACTGCTAAGAGATGAACAGCAAAGCTGCATACCTGATCATACGCCGCACGCATGCGCTGCTCCGCCCTTGTCTTGTGGAACTTCGAACCCAGCTTGAAGCTCTTCATTGCGTTTTCCGTCGACCGGTTCAGCCGCGTCAGCCACCCCGCAGACATATTCCTCTTGCAGGGTTTCATATTGCCCAGCAAATTGTCGTATTTGATTATGCCAGTCCCGCAATCAGCTGTGTCCCTGCGCGCAGATTGAAACAAGCGAGCAGGGGACCACATGGAAAGGGAAATCACACCATTATGTAAAGGAAGGATAACAAATTTGAAGGAAAAGAAAAAAGAAAGAATGAGAAGAAAAGTGGCGTAAACCCACCGAGGAATTATCACAAGAACGTGTACCGTCCCTTAGCCAGCAAAGCCACAATCCCAGCTGCAGACTCAGATGGGTAGAGATTTGATACCAACAAAGCAGCAGCGTTAAAATATTACATGTTGCACTGGACAGTAGCTTCAGTCTGTTCTTACTTTTCAAAGCGACTCTGGTCTGACAGTAGCTTTCATGATAGATGATGAAAGCTATAGGTCCCATATGGTCCCATGCGGTCCCAGTACAGTCACATGCGGTCACGTACGCTAAGTCTGCTTTCTTACCTGTGTGGCAATATGTTTTATCCCCATTACCGCCCGTTTCTCAGGAGAATCTCTGCCACCAAGCGAGCCGAAATTTTTGAAGCTCACAGTGCTGTTTCACTCCGCGGAACCCGTGACGCTTCAAGCGAGTCATGGCCCAATCAACAGCTGCACGGCACGGGTAAATCACCAGGGAGAGAGGCGTCAAGGCGTACGCAGGCGGTCTTTCGACGCGGTCACACACACCTGGACAATCATGCATTGGTTCAAACACAGATTGGACAGATTGGTTCTTGAAATTTCCCAAAACCAGCTTGTCATCATGCATTGGCTTGAACTAAGAGATATTCGGACAAGCCATCCGATGCAATATCAGAATGCGTACCGACGGGGCAATACCTCACAGGCACCCCCCCTCCCCTCCTCTCCATCCCTACACCTCCAGCGCAGCAACCCGTACAGCAGCAACCCACCTCGTTCCACATGCTGACATGGCACCTCATCTCGATTCCCCTCACCACCAGCACCGTAAGCCACCCGATCTAACCAGCGCAGCAACCCGTTCAAGCAAAGCGGCAAACCCAGAAACCCACCTCTTCCACATGCTGACGTTGCGACCTCTCCCCGCCATTGCCAGCTTATCCCCGTGCGCCGGGACAGCAACCGTGGCAGCAGGTGGTGTACAAACACCACCTTCACCATGTGAGCGAGTTTAAAAAATCATAGACATCACATCAACCCACCTCGTTCCACAGGCTGACGTTGCGGCCTCTCCCCGCCGTTAGCCAGCTTGTCCCCCGTGCGCGGGACAGCAGGCGCGGCAGCGGTGGCGCACAAACACCACCTTCACCCAGGTCGCGCCGCGTCATGTGGAACATCACATCGTCCTCGCCCATCTCGCGCCAATTGAGCATCAGCCGTTCACGCCTATCCCCCCTTACCCGCAGCGCAGCAACGCCACACAAGCAGCACAGCAGCAACCCACCTCGTTCCACATGCTGACGTTGCGGCTCTCCCCGCCATTAGCCAGCTTGTCCCCTAGTGCGCCGACAGCAGGCGCGGCAGCGGGTGGCGCACAAACGCCACCTTCAAACAGTCGCGGCCGCGTCCATGTGGAACATCACTGTCGTCCTCGCCCATCTCTCGCCCCATTGAGCGTGAGCCCGTTCACGCCCGCCGTGGTGCGTGTGGGAAGTAGGATGTGATGTGCTTAAAGCCCGCGCTCGCTGCGCAATCCAACATCTTCCAGCTCGTTGACGCCACTTTCTGAATCTGGCAGTACATCACCCCGATTTTTCTGCCACGGGGGGGGGGGGGGGGGCAGGAGACATGGGGGGATGAGGGGAGGCGGGGATGCGGGGAAGTGGGGGTGGGGTGGGGGGAAGGGGAACGGGGGAGAGGGGAAGGCAGGCGGCTGTGAGGGAGGGGTGGAAGTAAAGGCGATGTGCTGCAAGCCCCGCTCGCTGCGCATCCACATCTTCCAGCTCGTTGACGCCACCTTCTGAATCTGACAGAACATCACCCCGAGCTTCTCTGCCAGGGGGGGTGAGGATGGCGGGATAATGGCGGGGAGGGGTAGGGGGATGGGGGTTGAAACGGGAGGGAATGGGAAAGTTCGTGTGTTCTAGCCTTATCCAGCAGCTCTGAATGGAAAGTCATATCCACGTGAAATACATGCTTTTGAACCGCTTTCAAAGGAAGAGCATTGGGATCTGGGGACAAAGATACGTTGGACTGAACGTTCCATGAGAATCACAACTTTTGTGAGATTTCAATACTTGGGAACAACATGGGAAACCACAGGTGACATAGAGAAAACGTTTCAAAGGTCCCACCGTGCATCTCCCACCGTCCATCTCTCCACCGTGCATCTCTTACCGTGCCATCTCTTTACCGTCCATCTCTCACCGTCCATCTCTCACCGCCCATCTCTCACCGTCCATCTCTCACTGCCCATGCTCTCACCGCCCATCTCTCACCGCCCATCTCTCACCGCCCATCTCTCACCGTCCATCTCTCACCGCCCATCTCTCACCGCCCATCTCTCACCGGCCATAGCTCTCACCGTCCATACTCTCACCGTCCATCTCTCACCGTCCATCTCTCACCGTCCATCTCTCACCGTCCATCTCTCACCGTCCATCTCTCACCGTCCATCTCTCAGCCGTCCATCTCTCACCGTCCATCTCTCCCGTCCATCTCTCACCGTCCCATGATCCATCTGCTGTGCAAACCGCAGGGAGGCCAGGGGGCGGCACATGGCGAGGGGCAGACAGCAGCTCCACCGCAGCAGGGGGGGAGGCCGAGGGGACCCCTGGCAGCTAGCAGCCAAGGCCGTGAGCAGGCGGGCCTCGGGGGAATCGTGGAGGGCAAAGACGAGCGAGGGCGCGTGGGGCCAGAGCGAGAAACTCCACGATCTGAGGGTTGGTGTGGGGGCGGGGCGGGATGGGGTGGGGTGAGGTGGGGTGGGGGGGTGTTGAAGGGGTGCATTCGCTCATTGAATTGCGATTGACCTTTGGGTAGATTTCTAATAGAACTCCATCCGTGTCACACCCATTCCATCCCACCACAGTTTCACACAGTTGAGAAGGCACATACCTCCAGTTGGAGCACACAGCTCCCTTCTTCCTCGTCCTCCAACCACCCACTTCCACCCCCACCAACTCTCCATTCCGCCACTCCTTAAGTCGCTTCCTCCCCCATTGCCCCGCCCCTAGCACACCGCTCCAACCACCCCTCCTCCTCCCCCACTTCTTCCCCCTCTTCCCTCCCAATCCCTCCCCAGATGCCCCCGCGCCCCCACCCTCTCCCCAGACACTCCCCCCGCCCATCCCCCCCACCATGCCCCTGCTCCGCACCCCAACTCCCCTCTTCCGCGTTGCCTGCAGCACCAGCGGTGCCCGTGACTCGTGGAACATGCCGGCCACAGCCTGGGCGGCAGACGGCACTGTAGCAGCCACAGTGAAGTCGCGGTCCGGGCGGCGCAGGGCGGCGTAGGCGATGCGGCGGGCGGCGCAGGAGGAGAGGGAGTGGGAGAAGGGGAGCGTGTGGCAGTTGGTGCAGGAGGGGGGGACGAGGAGGGAGAGGTTGGCTGGGCAGCCGGGGCAGGAGTCCAGAGGGGTATCCTGATGGGGGAAGTGGGGAGGAGAGGGAATGGGAGAAGGGGAGGGTGTGGCAGTTGGAGCAGGAGGGGGGGATGAGGAGCGAGAGGTTGGCAGGGCAGCCAGGGCAGGAGTCTAGAGGTGTGTTCTGATGAGGGAAGGGAGGGAGGGGGGGGGGAGATGGGAGATGGGGGAGAGAAGGGGGGGGGAGGGGGGGGGGGGGGGGGGGTTGGTTGGGAGGGGGGATAGGCAGCAGAAAGGTGAGGCTGCTGAAGTTGCATAGTGTTTTTGAAAAATTCTAAAAAACACTAGGCTGCGTAAAAGCCCATGTGGCAGGAGTGGTGCATCAGGTCCTGAGTGACTACAGCGAAGGATACCCACTGAGCTGAATGCCTGCAGCGACCGAGTGATAATAGCGAAAGGCTTTCACGGTTGAAGTGGGTGATTCTAAAGGTAAAGGCGAGGAAGGCGGGAGGTACTTCCTTCCTACAGGATACAGAGAGGAATAGAAGGGTTCAGAACCACAGCAAGCTCTGGTGCAATATTAGCAACACTTTTAGCTAAGAGGGAGGTACTTCCTACGGGATACACATCTTGCCCACCCTCTAGGAACACTGCTGTGGATTGCTGCACACGTGGGCAGGTCCTCTGCTGCCAGCTGGCGGAGGATGCGCTGAGTTGGACGCAGCGCCTGCAGGCTGGAAGCCAGCTCAGCAGCGGACCAGCAGAGGGTGGGCCTGCGGTGGGAGGAGAGGTGGGGGAGCGGAAGAAGTGAGGAACTTTTAGAAATAAATGTTAACAAGATGGGGTTTGCGAGGGGGGGGAGGGGGAGCAGGGTGAGAGGGGGACAGGGGGGGGTGGGGAAGGTGTTTGGGGGGGGGGGGGTGGGGGGCGAGGGGGGAGCGAGGGGGGAGAAGGGGGAGGGAAGGTGAGACATTAGAAAAAATACACTTCAATTTCAAGAGACAAAGTGTGTGAGGTTGGGTTGGAGGAGTGTTGAGGGAGCGACAAGGGAAGGACACAGCTGCACTCAGTACTTCCTCTCTCTCTCCTGCCCCACACACAACACACACCCCTCCCTGCCGCAAACACCACACGTCACATACCCCTCCTAGTGATGCCCGCGCATGTTTCAGACAGCAGCATTCGCACGAACATGCCGTTGACCTGTTCCGCATTCCCCTCCTCGCTCCTGTTTCCCGCTCCCGCTCCCCTGCCCGCTTCCAATTTCTGCTGCGCCGCTGCTCGCAACACCGCAACCTGCGGCTTGGCGTGCGCTGCTGCTTGCACTCGCCGACGCACACCTGTGTTTGTTGCGAGGAAGCGGGAAGCGGAGGGGCGCACGCAGTTGGTTCGGGTTGTAAACCCTAAACCCGAAACTTGGGGCACACATATAGGTAGATAGGTTGAAATGAGCTACAAGTGGTGGTGGAAAGGGGTAGGATGGAATGAGTGGCCAGGGGAAGGTAGGGGGGATGCTGTCACACACTGATTACACAACTCACCTCTTTGTATCAAGTGGCACATCACTATTGTGTTTGCAAGGACAAACCACAGTCTCCTCAATTTCTGAGGCGCCTCAAAATCCGCGTGAACTGCGACGAACTTTTTTCGGCGCCGCAAAAATCATCTTTTGTATCAATCAAGTGGCCCATCACTGCTCTGTTTGCAAGGACAAACCACAGTCCTCCTCAATTTCCTGTATGAAGGGGCAGATACCATTTTCCTGCTCAGGAAAAAAGGTAACCCACCCACCTCTCTGTACGAAACCGTGAGTTCCTGCGGCGCCTGTTCCAGCAGGTCGGCCACACATGCTGTTGTCACATCGTCCACAGAAAACCTTGGCAAGGTTGGTGCGATTAGGGGCGCAGATGACGACTTTTGAGGCCCTCAAAGTTGTGTTCCAGCAGGTCGGCCACACATGCTGTTGTCACATCGTCCACAGAGAATCTAGCAAGGGTGAGAACAGGGCCGCAGCAAACATACAACAAGAGACGCAGCAGCAGCGGTAACGGCGGCGTAGCCAGCGGCGGCCGAGCAGCAGCAGCAGCAGCAGCAGGAGGATTTAGGACCACCAAGAATCAGCAAGCATGAAAAGATGAGGGATCTGGCCTTTTGAGCACTAACCATTGGAGCATGTGCGTATGCATGTGCGTGTACTGTGCGTGTACTGTGCGTGTGTGTCCATGTGCATGTGCATGTGCATGTGCATGTGCTTATGCATGTGCTTATGCATGTGCGTGTGCATGTGGTGCGTGCATCTTGCATGTGCATGCCTGTGCATGTGCATGTGCATGCCTGTGCATCTGCATGTGCATGTGCATGCCTGTGCATGTGCATGTGCATGTGCATGTGCATGCATGTGCATGTGCATGTGTACAGGGTACCTTTGGTCATAATGCAGAGCGAAGAGCGAAGAGAAGGAGGAGGCAGCGTGCACGTGGCGGGCGTCTAGCATGAAGCTGGCGTCAAGCACCCACAGCGCCTTCACAGACAGCCCTGCCGCCAAGGCTGTGCCTCGCACCCCCGCCAGCGACACCAGGCGCGCTGCTGTGCTGCCCTGGTGGTGGGAATGGGGGCAGGGTGGAACACAACCGCGGGTTGGGGAACAGGAGTGCGGGAGGAATGGGGGTTGAGAGCGCGAGAGTGGGAGATGTGAGGTAAGGTCAATCAATGACACCAGAAGGTATGATGGCGTGAGCAAGCAATACGAACATGCGGAGCGGAGAGGAGGTGAGGACGTTTGAGGCGCGTCAAAAGATTACCAGAGGGTATCATGGCGTGAGCCAGATGAACATGCGGAGCGATGCGATGCGACGATGGACAGAAGGCATGCCGATCCATCAAGCTTTGCTGCGAGAAGATATACGCTAGGGAGACAACACGAGAGTCGTTGGGCGCGAGCGAGCGCAACCTCTGTTATAATCACAACGTCGTATGGGAATAGCCCAGAAAGCACCGCCGCGCATGACTCCTCGGAGGAAGATCCCAATCGGAACCACCGATCGTGGTGGTACTGCGAGCTCCCCAATCGGAACTGGCCTGCGAAGCCCCGCGAAACCGCCGAGTAACGCGACGAGACCCGTCGCGAGCAGAGCAAGCAGAGCAAGCAGCAGGCGTTTTGTCGCAGAGGAAACGGCCAGAGGCCAGCAGCGGAAGCAGCAGCGCGGCAGAGGCGCGGCGCGGGGGCGTGAGGCTTTCGGCGACGGAAGAGGGAGTGGCGGCGGGAGCCGTGGGCTGAAGCTTGGGAATGGGAATGGTTGCTCGTCGTCGCAGCCGCCGCCGCGCCAGACGCTTGGGGTGCGGCTCCATGATAGAGCAGCAATGAGTCGAATGATACTGGAGATGATGATAACGATGATGGTGCTGATGATGAAGCAGCGATGCCAGGTGGTGACTTGTTGAGAGCAACAGGTGTTGGTGATGCCCTGAGGGATGGAGGAGAGCCCCGCGACCTGACACAGAGTAGTAGCAGAGAAGTGTGAGGGAGGGACAGGTTAGTAGCAGGAAAGTGGGACAGATCAAGTAGCAGAAAAGTGTGAGGGACAGACAGTGGCCACTTTATAACGTAAGGGGTGGGGGTTTGGGGTTGGGGGGGAAAGTGGGGAATGATGCGTGAAGTGTTCTGGGGCCTCATAGATTATCTTTTTTATCTCTCAAAACCGAATGTTATGCTCATGCAGCCAACATCACACGCACGTTTTGTGATGTGCCATCAGGAGGGCACTATGGATGCTCATATTGAGATTAATCCACGACCTCGTCGTCTGGCCCGTCGATTGAACCGACTCCGAGTCGCTGTCTGACTGTCAGGTGCCTTTTTGAGTCTGACTCAAAAAATCGACTAAGAGTTGACTCAAGATACTGAACCGGCTTGATGTCCTTTCCGTCAGAAGCCTTTTAAGGAGAACGTCAGTCTAAACTAGACAGCACACAATCTGGCTGAAAAAAACGGAAGCTGCTGTGACTGATTCGCGCGGAAAGCGATTAGTGTTTTAACACGCGATTGAAAATGGCGGCGTTGAGAGGACTGGAGGCGAACAATACATGATGCTCGTCACGAATCATGCTTGATCATTATTCATTAGCCGCTACTACCACGCTTCCTCACGATTTCCGATTCATCATGAGCAGCAACTACACGTCGTCACGGAAGGGAAACTAGCACTAGGACGGTGCTCCTCTTACAATGAGGGGACGGAGAGTCGCGTCGCGCCATGGCAGCGGAAGACCTCGTACCGCACCGATCTTCAGGTGATTCGCTAGCTTTGTTCGTTGCGGCGGGTGAGGACCAGGGGCGTCACCGACCAACGCCTTGGTACTACAGGACAAACAGCAGTACAGTGACCACTACAGTAAACTACTTCTAGTACAGTACACTAATCCGTCGTACTACTAATTACCCTGCCCGTGGTTCTGCAGAAGCATCTTCTCTGGTTCCGCTGCCCGTGGTTCTGCACGCGGGTTCGGATCATTGCACACAGGGGATGCAGTACAACGCATTACAGCGTCAGGGGGTACCGTCACTAGTACTTTACCGGTACAGGTATACCTTTACTCGAGGAATCTTCAGGAGAATCTATGATTGGTGCCGCGCCGCAGCTAGGGTATTCCTTTCCCTCTCTGCTGCTGGTGCCAACTGTGCTGTGCCGCAAACAAAGCTCCACCTTGCAACCGCGAGCCTCGTAAATGTGAATTGCTGCAGGGTGGCGTGACTGTATCGAGCTCATGGTAAGTACGTGTACAAGGTGCAGGTGCACTCTGCTCTGCTCCGCCAGAGATCCAGGGAGCAGTGCTGCTTTGGTCGGTCGGTTCCTCACCAGGTAGCCCTTCCCGCAGCACCGCCCTCCCTTTCTTACTGCATCTATCTCTCCTGTCTCCCTCCCTCTACCCCAAACGTCCATATTCCTCCCTCGGTACATCCGAGATTCCGCGTGTTCGAGCGAGCCGGTACCCCCAACGCCGCACAGCGGGACACGCGCGACGCGAACCCCCACTTCGCTGCCTTCCTCCGGAAAGCCCTAGAGAGAAACTGGGCGGCCGCCAAGGGGGTGCCATACCAGCACTGAAACCCAACACCCGAATCTCGTTACTCTGCAAAGTAGAAAAGAAGAAAAAGAATACCAACAAAAGGTAATGAATTAACATGCTAATATTTAGTGCATGCACATCTCACCGAAATCAGTGAAATCTCTGTGAAATCCACGTCTCCTCGAATTTTTTTGGAGGACAGGGTGTCTCTCATTATTACCCAGCGAACAAGGAACCGGATCCATCAAATCCATGTGGGTTACGAATCATGTGGTTGAGGATTTGAGGATTTTCTTGACATCAATTACCAGCTTAGATGCGGGGCGAGCCATGGACGGCGGCCACTACCGTGGAAGATCGCTTGTGGTCGGAATGTAGGGTCGGAAAAGGCCGACGTGGAACGATGGGCTGATGTACCAGTTGGAAGGCATTATGAGGTGAGCAATGACATGTGTTATCATGTGGCTGATCTTGAATAGGCCGCAGTAGTAAGGTCGAAGTTTTGGCCAAACAGGCGGGTTCTGAGTGTTGAGCAGTACGAAGTCTCTTGACTGGTACGTGTCGGCGTTGCGTTTAGCGATAATAGTTGCCTTCTTATATTGCTTCTTCTGCACGGGTTCGTGCCTCTTGCAATATCCCAGCGAACTGTTCGGCCTGATGGGCACTGTAAGGTTTTCCCCATAATTGAGGTAAAGTGGTGATTGTTTCGTCGTTCTTGAGGCGAAGCACCCCACAACAGAGAATTCTCGTTGCCGAATTAGTTACCAGATTTTCCATCATCGTCGGCACCCGCGATCGCCTTTGGAGGACTTCAAGCAGACACTTGTCAGCTGCCCTAGCGGGGTTGTGGCAGGACCATCGTGCACAACATTTGAAACCCTAGAAAATGTGGCCCTTACGAACCCGGATATCAACGAACAACTGCACTGGGTTACAAATTTGTTGATACGTGGGGTGCTGTGTTAGAATCCTTAGCTAGGTGAGGAATGATCATTAGGTAAGGGAGAGGGGGTACAAGAGTGTCGAGAGAGTTGGGTTATACCCTCTAAGGTGTGACCCTACACAACCTAGAGTAAGAACAGAACAATATGTTTTGACACACCCCATAGGTGAAGTAGGGGATAGCCAAACCTAACAGTGGTCACAAGACCCAGTCAAGCAAGAGAACAAGCAAGGGCAAAGCCCAGGGTGGATCTCAAGGACACCACACAATCTGAGCACAAGCAAGGCGGCCACAAGGCCAGTTCACATGCAGATTTATAATAGCAAGGCAGTACACCGATCACAACCTAGCAAGAGTAAACATGCAGGTATAAAGATATATATAGCAGTGTACAACAAGAGCAAGTCAAGCAACCAGCAGGTGAGGCAGAGTGGGCACAAGCCCAAGAGCAGTGCAGAAACGCTGATGATCACCAGCCCCAAGTGCCTTGGTGAAGACATCAGCAGTGTTGGCCCGAGAGGCCACGTAAGCAAGGCGCAGCTGACCACGCTGCTGCAGCTCACGCGCAAGGAAGTAGCGCAGAGCAATGTGCTTCGTTCTGTGCTCCAGTCTCTGCTCGCGACACAAGGCAAGCATTGCCTTGTTGTCGACGTACAGAACTGGAGGAGAACGAGGCCGCTCCCCCAAGTCGGTCAGCAGGTAGGTCAGCCAGCGGAGCTCCTGTGCAGCCATGGCCCCAGCGTAGATCTCGGCCTCACAACTGGAACCAAGCACAGAAGAAGAACGAGTGGACCTCCACGAGACAGAACCAGCGCCAAGACTGAAGGTGTAGCCCTGTGACGAACGCTGAGTCGCCTGGTCGTCGGCCCAAGAGGCGTCAGAGTGTCCTGTGAGGACCACCGAACCCCGTCCTCCAAGCACGAGCCCCATGCCCGATGTGCTGCACAAGTAACGCAGTACCCTCTTCGCAGCATCAAAGTGCACCTTTCGGTGCCTGCCGGGTGCCACGTAGCGAGCCAGAAGGCTGAGAGGGTACGCGAGGTCAGGTCGTGTGCACGTCATCAGGTACATGAGGCAGCCCACAAGCTCTGGGTACGGACCACTCGGCTCTACGGACTCGTCCGAAGGTGGAGCTGAGAGCGAGTGGCCGGTAGCCAGAGGAGTGGGCTGTGGCGAGGAGTACGTGAAGCGGAAGCGCTGTAGGACCTGGTGCACCATGTGTGACTGAGTCAGGGTGATGGTGCGCCGTGGTCTCTCCCGGGTGATCTGCAAGCCAAGATAGCTCCGCAGCTCGCCCAGGTCAGTGCAGGTGTGTCTCTCCTGCAGCTCCGCCTTCACTAGGGCCAGTGCCTCAGTGTCAGCAGTAGCAAAAACCAAGTCGTCGACGTACACGAGGATGTAGAACGGCGGCAGAGTAGTGTCGGTGCGTAGAAACACAGCGACGGGTCAGCAGTCGAAGGAGCAAACCCAAGAGCCGCAAGTGTCGTCCTCAGTGTGTCGTGCCACTCGCGGGGCGCCTGACGCAAGCCGTACACTGGTCGCCGTAGGCTCCACTGGGTACCCTCAGGAAACGACCCAGTGAAGCCCTGTGGACGGCGCAACCAGATGGCCTCGTGAAGGCTACCCTGCAAGAAAGCTGTCGAGAAGTCGAGGGAGTGCAGCTCGTAGTCCACGCTGAGCTGCAACGTGTAGCAACACCCGAAGAGTGGTCATCTTCGGGGTGGGGGAGAAGGTCTGAAAGAA